TTATTCCAACTATATTGAGTATCATATATGTAACGATTTTAGTATGGATCTTCACTAGTAGATCCATTATTCAGATAAGTAGAATTCTGATTACTATAAAAAGAACTTTCTAGTTTACTCAGAAAAGAATGATCATTGTTAATTTCAAAAATCTGATTTTCAATATCAAAATAGATAGAATAACTGTCTCCATTACTATCTCTAACTAAAAAAGTATCATCAGAGATGAAATTTCAAATGTCTTTGATGCCGAATAAATGATCGACATTACTGTAACTAGAATTGTCACGACCCCTCCAACTATGAATGTTTTTAGCTTTTCTATTCGTATCTTCACTTTTACTAGTATTTTCAATAGGACAAAGATTGTCCATTGATTTATTTATTCCATACCTGCGTTCTAACTCCTTCTTAAACACCATCGAATTAAACCACCACCTTTCCATAGAGTTTTCTTCCCCCTATTTATTTGCATAAAAATACAATAGATGCATAGTCATTCGATCCAAAATTCTTTATTTGAATATCTTCATTTCCTATTAGAATAAACATGTGAATCCACTCACTATCATTATTAACTAATAATAAGTGTAAAAAATGATTTTCTTTTGTGGGAATCCGAGGTAAGACTTCACTATATATGAATATGATAGAATCCCTTTTCATTCTAAATATAATGAAAAAGAGTAGTTTCTCCTATGTCTTCGCATCAAAAAAAAAATATTTGTTCTCTCCTAGAAAGAATTTTTTTTTCGTAAAATCTCGTCTAATAACTAACTAATAACAAGTAATAAATTAAGGTTCTATTCCAACACGGAACGAAAAGGACAATATACAGGATGGGTAGAAAGATTTGTGATACTTCGCTCGATTCAGGGAAACTACAGGATATAGAAAAAATATACCAATCCTAAAGATCCATAGGATTAATTGTGGATCCAAAACAACAATAGAAACATTTGAGTCTTCGATTTGGATTTAGTCATAGATTTTGTATTTCAAATCTTGTATATCTGGAGAAGTATGTATTTAGCCAAAATACATGCAATAGAATCTCTGTATTCAGCTCAATCCTTTTAGTAAAAGATTGGGCCGAGTTTTCAATTAAGAGAACGGAGGGTAATTACTTGTTATCTTACTTATAGAGTATCCATTGCTGCAAACTCAAATTTGATCTCTTTCCATACCTCACAAGCAGCAGCTAGTTCAGGACTCCATTTGCTAGCCTCA